AACTTTAATATATACTCACAAGGTGGTTAGTCAGAGCGGTATAATTGATTAAATTTTATTGAGTTAATAGACAGACGAACTCGTAAAGCTGTTAGTTAGGACGGTTCATTATAATTATTATTTGATTATAATAACATTTTATTTATTATGATAAAATTACAATAAACAAAAAATATATCTGATAAAATTATTGTAATTTCGAAAAAAAAATTACATTTTCATAACTAATTCGTTATTGCATCATATCTTGTGGAAAAATTACAACCAGATCAGTTATTTCTTCTTGAGTAATTCCAACTAGATCAGTTATTTCTTCTTGAGGAATTCCAACTGAATCTGTATGTACTAATCTTGGGATTACGATGCACCCTTTAAAAAAAATGTTATTTTAAATATATGTTTAAATCGTTATTTTTTTTTTAATATTACCTAATCTTTTCAAACTGTCTATATATTTTCTTTCTCGTAAAACTAGACCTTTAATCTCATTCTGAAGATTACTTATATCTCTTTCACTTATAATTTTCTGGTAATATAAAGTAGATTCTAATTCATTAATCCTTGTCTCAAGTCGTTGGATTTCTCTTTTACCTTCTTCTATCTGATTCTTATATTTTTCATTTTTATTTTTTAATTTATCAATACAGATCCTAAATACTTTTTCTTGCTCAGATAACTTATTGATAAAAGCATTAGCCGTTCCTCTTGTATTTATAAGAACTATAATATGTGTTTTGGCCTTTTCTCCTTCCTCAATTAACGTTTGTAAATTGTTTAATCTTTTATTGAAGTCTTTTCTACTCAGATTATTTTCATTACAGAAAGTGATAAATTTCTTCATCATACATTCGAGATATTTAATACTTTCTTGATACGCTTTCATAATCTTATCTTCTGGTTTTTTACCAGACCTTGTTTTTGTATTTTTCAGATACGTTATTTTTTTTTACATTAATTTTTTTGCTCGTAACCAAAATAATATATATTAAAAAATTTTATAATACATGTATAAATATGATAAAATTTATTCAATAAGTAAACATCTTAAAAAAAAAATAACCAGTTCTAGTATATACTATTCAATCAATTAATCACTAACAGTAGTTACAACTGATTAAAGTG